CTGTCTGTCTGTCTGTCTGCTCGGCCGTCGGCGCGCGTGGATGCCGGGGACGTTTTGCAGTGCGGCGGATTGGATTGTGACAGCGGCGCGTCCTGGAGGACGACGTCGAGGACGACGTGGAGGAAGGTGAGGCTGGCGGGCTGGCCGGGTTGACACGGGTCGCCGTTTCGATCCCCGCCGGCGCGGCACGCCACTGCAAGGCACTGCAAGGCACGGCGCGTCCAGGTCCATTAACCTACATAGTAGTCGCGACGGTGGCCGCGGAGGGCGTCGTCGTGGCCGACAGGGAGAAATACGGGGAGAGGCACTCGGCCGATAAAGCCATACTTTAAGTCCGCCGTTATCACCGCGAATCGGCCGCCGGTTCTCGGGTTCGAATCCCGCTGGCGGCAGAGCCGGCCGGAGCTTTGTTGCGAAACTTTTTCGGCGACCCGTCCGTACGGTAAAGGGGTTTCGTGATGTATGGAGGGTCAGTGACTAAGGAAGGCGCCGGGAAGGCGCCCCCTCTCCCTCTCCTCCTTTCAGATCGCGCGCGTCCCAACCCGTTTCCAGTGGCGTGGCGGGTCGGATTAATTACGCCAGTATTGCTGCGTTTTGTCTTGTAGTGCCTGGCACGGCACGCCACGGCACGGCCGGCCGCGTCGCACGAGGGTAGCACTGTTAATGCGCCCCAAGTCAGGGCAGGCAGGGCAGCCAGCACGTGGCCGAGAGAGGGAAGGCCAAGAGGACCCGGAGGGCGGAGACCCGGAACGGCTCAAAATTGTTTATCGCTGCCTCGGCGCTTCGTTTCCCCGTGTTGATCGCGGTGCTCACTGCCGTCGGGTTTCTTTCCGTCCGTGAGGGACGGGACGGTCGGTGTGGCCGCGCGACGCGACGCGACGACGCCATACGCCGTGGCGACGCAGGGTCTTCTTTCCAATTACGCACCCGAATGTCAACACGGGACTTTATTTTTGCCGTTGTCGTTACTTTGTGGTGGAGCTGGGCAGTAATGCCCTGCTGGGCTCCAGGCGAGGCTCCGGCCGGCCGGTCGCAGCGGGGTACCCGGCCGCCCGGCTCGGCTCGGCACCGCCCGGCTCAGCTGGGCCGCTGCCGCCGGCACTCGGCTCGTCTCGCGACCCGCCGTATCAACGGACCAGGGAAAGTACTTTGTGTTAATGCCTCGCTGTCATATGGTGGAGACGGGCACCGGGGTCTGGAAGGCCTCCTCCGGCACCGTCGCCACCGTCGGCCACCGCAGGAATGCCGGCCACGCGACGCCCCGGGGTCCCCGAGGCGGCGCGGAGCGCGAAGCCCCAAGCCCCGGCGGCGGCGGCCCGGGCCGGGCAGAGGGGCTCGTCCACCCCGCCCTCGCGCCGTGGACAGCGGGGGATGATCCGAGGGGCGCTCAAGTGCCCTCCATCAAGCCCTGCCCGCCCCGCCCGCCCCGCCGCGCGCCCTTGTAGTAGTCGGAAGTATTTTAATTTGCGCATTCAGCACGGTAATGTCGCCCCGTCGTGGGAAATCCCCCTTAATAAAAAGGGCCGGCCGTGGGCGTGGCCCGCCCGGCCCCGCCCCGCCCCGCGCCCAGTGGAATGATAAGTCCCCGAATGGGGGCGCGGGCGTAAACCAGGGCGTCCTTGTTACTGCCGGCCCCCGCAAGCAGGGCCCCGCAAGCAGGCCCGCCACGATTAATCACTATTTCTCCTTTTGTCCCTGTCTTTGGGCCCTTCTGTCGACGTCGTCGTGCAGCTCGGCCCTTCGCGCAATGCATATGCTAAGCGCGTATGTAGAAATCGGAATATTTAGCGGAGGGACGGGACAGCCGCGGACGGCCGTGGAGAGCAGACGGACAGCGAGCCTTTCCGAGGCCTTGCCGCCTTCCGTAAGAAGTAAGGCCTTTTAAATCGGTTTTTAGGAAGGGAGGGACAGGGGGAAAGGCCGGCGGCGGGGCAACGGGCCTCCGGGGGCCCCTTGGCCGGGCCTGGGGGGGGGCCCCGCCGGCCCCCGTTTATCGGGATGGAGCCGGACGGAGCCGACGGGGTACGGTGTTTCTGTTCCCTGGAGTTCTGGACTGGTGTTAAATACCCACCTCCTGGAGTCTCCGGGAGTCGGCGGATAGCGGACTGCCCTCTCCCCCTATTGATGCGTCGCCCTGGCTGGGAAAGGTTCCAAAAGCCCCCCATTTCCGGGTCTTCCCCTTATGGGCCCGGTTTTTGGCCCGGCTGGGCTCCCTTTGGGGGGGGCCCCGCCGTCCGCGCCTGGGAAAAGGGGTTCCAGGTCCCCCCGGCCCGGCCCCCCAGGGCCCCAAAAGCCCGAAAGGGGGGAAAGGGTTGGCGGGTGGGGCGGGGGTGCCCCGGTGGGGGCCCCAGCTCGGGCCCAAGGGGAGCCCCGGGCCCCGCCCGGCCGCCCCGGGGGGAACAGGTTGAAAAAAAAACCGGTGGGCCCGGGAATCCCAAAACCCCCCGGGTGCACCCCAATGCATGCGGTGCCGCCCCCGTGCGGGCCTGGGGGGACGCTAAGTTTTGCGGGAGCCGGGAAGCGGGGCACCAGCCCGCCTTTCCCATAAATCCGGGCCCGCGGGCCCGGTTGTTTTAGAGGGTCCTCTTTCTCCCCCCCGCCCCCCTTCCGCCTTCCCTTTCCGCGCCCCTTCTGTTTTTTTCTCCTTTTCTCTCTCTCTCGTGTGTGGGAGAGGGGGGGGGGGGCAGAGGGCACGCGGAGCAGGGAGTTTCAATGCCACGAGACTACTAGACCTCGTAGGAGGAGACTGGCTTTCTCGCCGCGTTTCCACCAACTTAGTACACCACTTTCGAATAAAATTTACCATTTTTTTTTTTTTTTTTTTTTGGCCTTTTTTGGCCGTGGGAAGTGTGCGAGGACGGTCGGTGGTTGGCGGTGGCCCTGAAGGGGCGTCCCGCGGCCCCGCGGCCCCGGGGCCCCGCGGCCCCGTCGAGACGACGTTGGTCGAGTTTGAGCCCCTCGCTGCCGCGCTGCGCGCTCAGCCGGCATCGGAAGTCGATTGGGATTGAACACGGAACAGGGCCGAACAACACACCAGCCACATCGGGCGAGCCGGGCCGGGCCGAGCCGAGCCCCGCAGCACGGCTTCGTGACCCGTTCTCTTCTTTCCCCCTTCTAATGCCTGCGCGATTCCGATCGTTCTGCCTGCCCGGCTGCCAGCTCGGCCGGCCGCCTGGCTGCCAGCTCGCCTGCCCGCCTCACCCTTTCCTTATCACGTGCCTCGGCGGTGGTCCAGGGCCTGGACTCCAGGCCCTGGGCTGGCGGGCTTTGGCTTTAAAAGGTTACGTCGCTCGTTGGGACAAGATGGACCGCGAGTGTCTCCAAGTGAGCCTCTAGTTCTCGTTGGCCCGGCGCGGCCCCGCGAGGGGAGGGGCGCCGCGGACGCTGCGGGCGCCTCTGCACGGAAGGGTAAACGTCCGGGAAGAAAGAGAGGGAGGGGGGAGTAAAATACTGTAAATAACGTTTTCTCGAAATTGGTTGAAGTGGGCGGCGAATGGGCGACCCCTTTGCCTTGGAATGTTTGCGCGTTCGCGCTGCTCGGCGCTGCTCGCGGCCGCGCCGTGGCCGCCGCGGCAGACGTTCGTTTGGTAATTGCAATAATGTCGACATTTGGACCGTTTTAAATTAAAAGCAGCGCGCCGCCGTTCTCTGCGGTCTACCTTTCTCTCTCTCTCTCCCTCTCTCTCCCTCTCTCCCTTCGCTCAGCGTTCCCCCATTGAGTAAGTGGGCGGCACTGGAGTATAGTGACCCAGTGTGGCCGGCCGAGGTGAGCCTCCAGCGGGCCGGCTGGAGTGTCCAGCCCTCCAGCCAGGCCCAGCCAGGCCCAGCAATTAAAGGCAGGGGCGGTCCGGAGGTCCGAGGGTCCGAGGGTCCGAGGCCACTCCAGGGGCGTCGCGCCGATGTCTCGGCCGTGTCCTGGCCGTGTCCGGGCCCCGCTGGCCGCGCGGACGTGATTACTACGGCATTGGCAGTTCTGGAGAGGTCCCCCCCCCAAGTCCTCTCCAGGCCAGGATCCTCTCCAGGACGGCCTCCCACCTTGTATTCTTCCCAATCCTCCCAATAAGGGCCTCTGGAATGCCCTCCAGGATTCTGTCCAGAATTTTGTCCCGAATCCTCTCCAGTAAATGTCCAGGATTCTCCATATCTTTCCAGGACCCTCTCCAGGATTTTCTCCAGGATCCTCTCCCCTGCAGCCTCCTCGAGCCCCCACGCGTCCTGCCCTTAATTACAATGCCGTAGTCCGCGGGATTCGCCACGCCGCCGCGCCCCGCCCCGCCCCGCGCTGAGATATGGCCCAGCATGGCCCGGCACGGCCGTCACGTGACCACTAGGGCCCGTAATGAAGTGTCATATAAGAAAAAGGAAGACGTAGCTCCCTTAATTTATGAATAGTCCCCGGGGCACGGTGCCTGCGATGCCTGCCGAGGCGGCCATAACTGTCCCAGCCCGAGAAATGAAGACTGCTTGTCAGGCTGGTCAAGAAATCTGCAATCCGGTGTCGCGGCCAGCCTGTCTGTCTGTCTGTCTGCCTGCCCTTCCGTCTGTCTGTCTTCACCCAGCGCCTCCCCGGCGTGCGACCGGCTACGCACAAATTAGAGTACACGCTTTCTGATTGCGCATGCATCATGCAGGTGCCTTGCCCGCTGTGTGGTCTAGCCGCTGGAGTGCTTTGCCCGCGTCTAGCGCCGCTCAATGCTGAGTTCATGCACGCCCGGCTGGTTGGTTATGCACGCTGTTAAGTGAGACACATTGTCTCTATCGACAGTATCTCGCACTCGCTCGCACGCCATTAAAGGGCGCGTCGCTGTTGTTATTGTTGTGGCGCGGGCGTGGGTTCGAGTCCCCGCGCCGCGGCCTGCTTTTTTTTTTATTTTTGCGCGCTTTTTCATGCCGGCATCATTACCCCCGTTGCGTGCGCTGGCTACCTCACCGTATACTAATACTGTGCAGAAAAAAGGTTTTTGTTGTTGATGTTAACGCGCTTGTCCTCCTTGTTGCAGAGCAACCGCGGTACGACACGGCCTACGCGTGCGAGGGCAAGACGCTGACCATCGCGTGCCGGCCGGGCGAGCAGATCCACCTGATCCGAGCCAACTACGGCCGCTTCTCCATCACCATCTGCAACGACCACGGCAACACCGAGTGGTCCGTCAACTGCATGTCGCCCAAGAGCCTCCGCGTCCTGCACAACAAGTGAGTCTTTTTGCTTTGTGTTTTTTTGTTTTTGTTGGTTGGCGTTCTGATTTACAGAGCGGGCCCCCCTCCCTACCCATCCCCCCTCCCCCCTCTTACTTACACCCTGATGGTGCACCTGGCGAGACGAGGGTGTAAACCCGGCGCCGCACGCGGACATTCGGCATGTTGTTTGGTCGTGCCATTACATGTGTTTTGTGCGTGCGTGTGTGTGTGTGTCTTGCAGCGTGGGTGCTGGCATTATCGTTCGGAAAGGAAAGTCAAGGGAGAGGAAGAAAAATGCCCGATGTGTTTTTCACTTTTATTTTGGCGCGGTGGTTTTGAATAACTGCGAGTGCCTCGCTCTCGAAGGCTCGCTTCGAGAGCTCGCTTCGAGTCGCGGTCGACTTGGAAGCAAAGGTTACGTGGAGTCCTGGCTCGGCTTCCTAGACCCGGAGCTGTCCCCATGCCCTGCGGGTACGGCGGGGCACTGCGGGGCCCGGCCCGGCCCGAGTCTAGGCTATAACACCGCGGCTCTAGGCGGCTCCAGGCGGCGCGGCCGGTCAGATTAATAGTGGTGTGATTCATGCCCGCGAAACGGATAATGATCTTTTTTGAAATATATGTGTAAATTGAAGGGTAGGCCGCCAGGCTGCTGCCCTGCCGGTACCCGTCTGGCTTGCACTCGGTTGCGTTGCTGCGTTGCAGCGTTGCCGAGGAATGCAACCAAAACGGCCGTTAAAGGCTCCGCGGAGGGGAGCGGACTGGACGGGGCCGGACAGGCTCGCCTCGACGGCTCGGAGGCTTCCTCACTCCTTTCCTTTCCTTTGGCCGAATCTCGAGTTGCGTTGCAGGCGCGTGTTTTTATGTCCAGCGGGGGGCCTCGCGATGGGGCCCCTAAAGTGTCCTAAATAGGGCTATGTCGTGATGCGAGACAAGGACGCTGCATGCGGTTGGCCTGGCTGGCCGGCCGCACAGTGGGCCTGAAGACCGGCGCCGGCGGCCGAAACTCCAGACGCGTTTTGAGCTCCAGAGTCGCTGAACAGGACTCGAACCGAACGTGTGACCCCACCGATGGATTGCTCTCCGAAGGAGGAATCCATAGATGGGGTCAAACGCTCGGTTCGAGTCCTGTTCAGCGACTCTGGAGCTCAAAACGCGTCTAGAGTTTTGGCCGCCTCCGCCGGTCTTTTGGCCCACTGTCCGTCTCGCTCTCCGCGGCCCGCTGTTGCTGCTGCTCCTGCTTCGCGGCCAAAACTATTTATGGCTTTTGGAGATTCCCTAATAAATTGGATCGGGCCAGCCTCTCTCTCTTTCTCTTTCTCTCTCTCGGCCGCGCACTGTCGTGATGTGGGGCTGCTTGTTCTTTTCTCCGGGAAGGCCGTGCGTTTGACGGCAGGGGCCCTCCTGTCATTAATAACTTGCCGTGAGTGAGTGAGAGTGTTGTGTGTGTGTGTGTGTGTGTGTGTTGCTTGCTGCTGATGTGTGATGTGTTGTCTTGAGCTGGCTGTGTTCGTCCCTGACGGGTGGGTGCTGCCGCCGTACACTATATTACACGTTTGTGGGTATGTGTGTGACTGTGAGAGTGTGTGTGTGTACGAACTGTGGCGGAGACGGAACCACCAGCGGCCCCACAGGACCGCCCTGGGTTCCACCGGCCGATCGCCCTGCTTCTACAGCCCCGTCACCCCCCCCCCCCCTCTCTCTCCGGTCCCCCTCAGGACCCCCCTCGGCGTCAGATAAGACAACAGCTCTTGGGTGGCATTCACGCTTGTGCCATAAGGCAATCCATAAGAAACCCGTTGGACCCCTCTGATGAGCTACGTCGGCGTGGCGTGGCGTGGCGATTTCGGTGTCACTGCTGTTGCTGCTGCTGCCCTGGCGGTCTAGCCTTTTTTTGAACGCCGGGGTTCCCTTATTGAATCACGCAGGGGACACAAATCTGACCTGTGATGTTGTCGTTGATTTTTTTTTTTCGAGAGCAATATTAACGCTCTTTATGGGTTGTTCCCTGTCGGTAATGTAGCAGCGTCCAGTTTGGAGCGGCCTGCCGACCGGCCACGCGCTGCGGGTTCGATTCCCGCCGCCGGAGTTATGGGGAATGGTGGCGTCACGCCATCCCGTCCGCCATTTATTTATTTGTTTAAAGCGCTGGAAACAATATTGTACGAGAAATTGGGGCGTGGCGTGTCGCGGCGCCGTCCCTCTACAGTGCAGTGACCGGCCGGCCAGTCGGCGGTGCCTGGGATGCCCATGCCGGCCCACTTTATTGTCGGAGCCTCATGAGCTGCTGCTGCTGCTGTTACTAAAATTATTTTTACAGCCGACTTTATACCGTGGCCGTTAATGGCGACTGATAAACGCTGCTCAAGTTTTTTGTCCGCCGAGCTGCGCGGCGCAGGCGCACTCTCTCGCGAGCGGAGAATAATAAAATTGGGATTGGGAAAAAAGTAAAAGTTTGGGCGCTGGGGCGTCGTGTGTGTGGTGGCTTCGAGTGTTTTGTAGTGTGGGGGCTCCGCGGTTGCACCGTGAGGCAACAAGTCATTGCGCGTGGGGCGAGCGGACGGACAGGCGGACAGACAGACAGACAGACAGACAGACAGACGGGGCGACGGAGAAGGGTAGCTTGGCAACGAGCTCGTGCTTTTGCAACCGGTGATGTTTGCATTGTATATTAAGTTGATTCGCCACGACTCGGCCCCTTAATAAGTCCCGTGGGGTTCGCCGGCCCGGCGTGGCCCGCCAAGTCGCGCTAGGGGTTCCCACACATGTGTCCTGGCGGCGGTTGGCCCCCCTGGGGCCTTGCGGGACAGTTGGCAACCCTAGTCGCGCCTGGCAGGCCTGGCAGGCCCGCCAACTGCGAATCGACAGTGTGCGCGCGCTGCGTGCGTTTGCAAGGCGGAAGCGGACCGGCCTGATTTGGCGGGATTATGCAAATGAGGCCGACTATCGCGCGCCGCGCGTCTTTTCGCTTTATTTGCGAGATTAGCAGTGTGGCTGCCGTGCGTCCTTGTCCGTCAGCGGGATTGAGTCGGAAAAGTGCGCTAAGTGGGCCTTATCGCTCCTTGCTCCACACCGCGTGCTCCACACCGCGTGCGCCGCGCGGTGAAAGGGAGGCTGGCGCGCTGGTGTTTACGGTGCTGCCGGCACCGGGGGGTCGCCCGCCTCGTCTGGGCGTCGCGGGCCGCGGGACCGCCGGCCTGCGGGGGCAGCAGCGAACGCTTTTAAGATTACGGTGGCGTGGATTACGCTGCGCTCGTCCCGCGCTGTCGGTCGGTGCGCGAAGGGGCCGTACAGTGAGCCAGAAGACCGGTGGAGGCGGTCAAAATCCCAAACGCGTTTTGAGCTCCAGAGTCGCTAAGCATGTCTCGAACCGAGATTGTGACCCCACCAATGGATTCCTCGTTCGGAGAGCAGTCCATTGGAGGGGTCACACGTTCGATTCGAGTCCCATTTCGCGAATCTGGAGCTCAGAACGCGTCTAGAGTTTTGTCCGCCTCCGCCCGCCGGTCTTCTGGCCCACTGTGTCGGGCCCTGGTTTTGGTTTAGTCTGCTGCACGGGAAAGGGGCGTATCTTTGTCGGAACGGACGCGTTTTGGGGCCCCGCTGCGCCGCGCTGGTCGTGGGTCTGTCTGCCGAATGTCGGTCTGCCCGGATGGCGTATAGATGCCGTGCGATAGATAGCTGCTTCATTGTCGCGTGTGTTGGTGTGTGTGTGTGTGGACAGTGCATATTCTAGCTGCAGCATCGAATCTGATAGCGGTTCCGCCGCCGGAGCGCCGCGCAGCGTCGCGTAGCGCACGGCACAGTGTAGAGTATACAGAGTATTAAACCGATAGGAACCGAAACAGGCCATTATTAATGGCGGGGTGACATAAAAGTAAATGCAATCCCTGGGCATAAATCAGGCGCTGCTTCGGCCGGCCCATCCGCTGCGAGGCGCCCCCTCCCCTCCCCCTCCCCCCAGTGCAGCGCCGCGATTATTTTAATGGCGCGCCTGCATTAGGGATGGTCCCTAAGTGGCGGGCCCCACACGGGGTACTGCCCCGCCACCGCCAGGCCACCGCCAGGCAGGCTGGAAGGCTACCGGCCTCACTTATTCAGGGTGGTGTAAAAGCCCTCCGTGCAGCCTCCATGCACCGAGTAGTCCATTTCACTTGTTGGCGAAAACGGCGGGAACGCAAGGGGACCGGAGGCGGTCAAAATCCCGGACGCGTTTTGAGCTCCAGAGTCGCTAAGCGGGACTCGAACCAAACGTGCGACCCCATCAATGGATTGCTCTCCGAACGAGGAATCCATTGGTGGGGTCACACGTTCGGTTCGAGTCCTGCTTAGCGACTCTGGAGCTCAAATCGCGTCTAGAGTTTTGGCCGCCTCCGTCGGTCTTCTGGCAAATCCACTGTGCGCCGGTCTTACTGCTTTTGGGGCGCTTTTTCTACCCGAGTGCTCCACTGATAGTCGTAGGGCCCTCTCGGTCCTCTGGCTGTCCCGGGCGTAACTCGCAGCGACTTCACGGTCCGCGGCGCGCGGGGCGGGGCGGGGCGGTGGCCGTGCTGACAAGGAGTTTGCGTCACACGATGGTATATGGCCCCAGTAATTGGCACCAGGAAGGCGGCGGGGCGGCGAGCAGCGGGGAAAATGAAGTACGACGTACGACACGGCGCGCTGCGCGGCCGAGCGGCGCGAAGGGCAACTTTTGCTGTAAAGTTGGCGGCGGCGAAATGGCATCGGCACCAGTGTACCAGCGGAAGCAGCGCGCCGCGTCGGGGCTTCCCCTTTTCTTGTCTATCAATTCCGAGTGATAAACCCGCCGCCAGTCGACGCACCAAACCGCGAGCGGCGGGGGAAAGGAAAACCTGAGGAAACAGGAAAATCGCCCGGAGAGGGCGTTTGTCTCGCCAGCGACGGCGCAGGTGTGCAGCAGTGAGTGGGCTGCAGGCACTGCAGCGCACAGTGGGCCAGAAGACCGGTGGGGGCGGACAAAACTCTAGACGCGTTTTGAGCTCCAGAGTCGCTAAACA